AGCTGTTTTTCTTGCCTTTACTCACTCCGACTTGACAAACCTGCCTACGGAGTGATGTTTTTGCCCATTCGGAACTGCACCTGTGACTTCAACGTTCTTGCCCCTAAATTATTAATACATGTACTAAGTGTTGGAGGAACGAGATTGATGCTGTAATGTCAGCCGATACCCTACATGTACTAAGTGTTGAAGGAACCAGATTGATGCTGTAATGTCAGCGGATACCCTCTTAAACCACCAATATGAGCCCCCTTCTCTGAAACTTCCTTCCCAATTGGATAGAAAATAGAAGGAGGCTGCCTATCGTTGTAACAGGCTGGCGAGGTCCTGTTTTATTCATTCTGGCACAAAAGATAAGGTTTGGGAATTTACAGCACAAATCGACTAGGGCTTTAAACCACCAGTAGGTCCAAGCCTCCTTTTCCAGATGTCGATTTGTGCTGTTTAGTGCTCACCAAAAAGAAACAAACCAGTGCGAGTGAGAAACTGCTTTTTTTTATATATAGAGGGTTTTGGGTTTGTCGGGGATTGTTTCAAACGGGGTAGTCCGTCAAGAGGCTGGACGTGTCGGGTTCAGCCTTCTAAAGGCACAGTGAACTCACCCACTCACACAGAGGACTCTCAACAAGCTCAGAACTCTCAACCTCACACTCACCCACCCGAGGGGTATCGACCGAGACTGGTGCTACTTGGTCGCCAGCAGCGGGGTGCGCCATACTCGAACAGTCGAACTCAGGGGCTAGGTCCCACTTACACGAATTAAGAGATATTGACCGTAGATAGCACAGATCAACGGTCAGAATCTCGTAATCAGTGCAAGTGGGACCTTGCCCCTGATGCCGGGGTTCCCCCCCCCGCCAACCTTTTCGGTTCGGGAGGCCAAGCCCCCAAGAGTGTGACGTATGTTAACCACCGCAACAGAACAAAATAATTGGGATAGGTACTTGAGAAAAGAAAAATGAAAAAAGAAAAAGGACATACGGAGAAATGTTTTTTCCTCTTTGTCCCTTTCTGGATGAAAGCCTTCAAACTGAATCGAGATCGGGACCATCCATCTGCCATTTATGTCTGATAACCGTCGATGCAGGTATGAGGAATACGTTGGCACCAAGACTACCATCAGGATGCAGAATCCAGAGAGAATGGGTATAGTATTCTTAATCTGAATCTATACCATGATTTTACTGGTCCTTTGCCAAACCCTAGTATGAACCCAAGTCATGATCCTGGACTGCTTTCATGTTCCTTTCTTTTTTTTTTTTTTTTTTTTTTCGTACAAAGAACAACCCAAGTGGATGCTAGGGGTGCTACCTGCTAGGAACTAAACAATTCATCTGGAAGACTGCTAGAACATTTTTAAATGTTTCGAATTTCAGTGTGTCTGAAAATTGGACGGAAATCGGAAAATTAGACGGAAATCCTTTCTCCTTCATAATCTTTTACATTTCTGCCGAAACAAAAACAAAAGAGAAAAATTTTCTCCCTCATAAGTTTTCATAATCTCTTACATTTTTGCTGATGCCAACCTTTCTCCTTTTCGTTATACTCCACAAGACCCCAAAATTTATAGGGAACAGTTGAAAACCAATACTGTAACACGGAGATAATTCCAGTTGCGATCTGGAGCTCCGATCCTCAAATTGAATCTGGAAAAACACTTTGCACGCCCCAAGGCTTCTCTAACGACCTGTTGTTTCCCGACCCTGGAGTTTGCAGTCCTCTGTGGTCAGGGGCATTTGGCATTTGCAGACACCATCAGCTGTTTTGGGTGCGGAGACCTCAATCTGACAACAGGCACCAGTGGCTGCAAAGATGTTTTGAAGGCTGCCACCCGCCGCAGTGAGGTCATTACCACCGACCAAACTCCCGTCGTGTACACTGGCACATCATTAGGGCAGCAAAGGCAGCAGTGGTGGTTAAGAACTTCAAACCACCAGTACGTTTGCCAATCCTCTGGTGTCCAGAGCAATCAATGTTGGCAGGTTCAAGATCACTCAACTTCTCTTGATCCAACCTATCTCCATTCTGCAATACATTCTGTAAAGGGACGCTGGACCCGTTTTCCAGCAGGTGATGCTCCCCACCACCAATAGACGGAGCCTCCCCCTGGGTGCTAGTGGTTTCTGGCCCAGTCAGCACCACTAGCACTGCAGGGGTGTGTGTGTTCTGTTAAAAAAAAAAAAAAAAAAAAAAAAAAAAAAAAACACGTTTGCCAGTCATTTTTCTCTGTCACGATGTCACGCTGTGCATGCGACCGCCGGGAGTTTCGGGAATCGGCGCACCGGAGCAAAATGAACGTCGGCACCAGCCAAACGAAGGTCTGTGTCGTTTCGTTTTTCTTTGGCGCGCACTGCGCAATGTGTTGTAGGGCTCAGCAAGGGAAGGGTCATAAGTACAGGTGGTTTAAGAAAGGGTTGTTCCTCTTGTTCATCATGAAAAGAAAGAAAGAGAGTAAGAAAGACAATAGGTACACTAGAAAGCATCACACCTTTTAGAAGTTTTCACTCCAGGGGAATAGGGGCAAAGATCTCATTGGTAAGGCTGCAGCCTGCAGGGCTTTTTTTTTTTTTTTTTTTTTTTTTTTTTTTTTTTTTTTTTTTGTAACATTCATTGGTTGCGCTGTCTGGGGTGATACCAGCATCCCCAGATATCACTCCCCCCAGATGGCTCCTTACTATTGGTGGGGAGCTGCATGTGCTACCGGGTCCAGCGCCCCCTGACATACAATCATGATGAATAATGCAAAAATACTAAAATAGTGTATAGCATGATAGGAATGCCTTCTTCCACTACCTAGGTAGGTAGTTTGTGGTGAAATTGAGAGAAGAATGTAGCTTACTTAAACGGTTAAACCACCAGTACTTGGCCCAGCTATCGGCCGCGGAAAAAAATAGAGTAGAAACGTTTCTAGTTGGATGAATTTGGGCGCTCCTGTAGTGGCCTGTACGTTTCCTAAAATCGCGTAGCGTTAACGGGCACGACTTTAGGAAGTACTGGTGGTTTAAACCACCAGTACCTTTACAGCTTCGTAAATGAGGGAAAACGCCAGCTCCCGAAGAATTTGGCAGCCGGGCCCGGCGATGGCTGATATTGATAAATGTAATTGGCGGCCGTCGTTTCGTTTCTGCCTCCTGAATGGTCCGAAGGCTGCTATTTTCTGAAACGACAAAGGTACTTTACAGCTTCTGAAACGATAAGTCTAGCACTAGTATCTTTGTCGCTTCAAAAATGAGGGAAAATGCCAGCTCCGAAGAATTCGGAGGTTGGGCCCGACGACGGCTGCCAACCAATGCCTGCCATTGATAAATCTAATCGGCGGCCGTCCTTTCATTTCTGCCTCCTGAAAGGTCGGAGGCCCGCAGCTATTTTTCGAAACGACAAAGGTACTAGTTGTTAAAAAAAAAAAAAAAATCTTCTTCAGTCCCAAAGGGACCGCCAGATGTCCTTTGTCAACCAAGCTCCTTATCTTGAAGGACTTATCAGCGGAGCCCTGGATTATTCCTCCCCCATGCCATACCATTGGATGTCAACCAGTGACTGTCACAACTCAAAAGGAGGAAATGGGTCTGGGAAACAATCAGGAGTCTCGGATCTGACGGAGGATCCCAACCAAGGTGTGAACCAGTTCCAGAAGATAAGCTGAAAATCCGGCTTGAGACAGTCCATTGTCTCTTCTGCCCCTGGCCAATGCACCTCACCCAGGCTCCTTCCTCCCTGTTCCCCCAACCAGTCCATATTTAATCTGTGAATGTTTTGCTCCATAACTTTTTTTTGATGAAATAGCATTAATTTGGTTCTGAGGCCATACTCACACTAGCACGTAATTCCGCAAATTTTACGTATGTGAATTTGCGTTTATATGGCACCTGCGGGTCACACTGGTCACCCGTTTGTTGCCCAAAGCAGAAAAGACAGGGTCGCGACCTGGCCTTGAGATGCGAAAATACGTTGTCTGCAGTCAGACAGCATACAGAAAGCAGTAGAGGAAAAAGAAATACGATTTTGTGGGGACCTCTGGAGGTCCCCGCCAAAATATGTAAGCCTGCGGCTGTCCAGGCCGCTGACATTTAGGTGCCCTTTTGTGCGAACGCGCAAAAAACGTTCCTCTTGTGACCCAAAAAACTACATAAAATTTGCAATTGTGCGAAAATGCGTGGTAGTGTGAGTGTGCCCTGAGTGATGACCAGTGAGCCCTAATTGTATAATCCCTCCAAACAAACTCCCTCTTTTTTTTTTTTCCAAGTCCATGGTGTTGTAGAGGCCAGTCACTGAGTACACAGTGATCACCTGGAGCAGCGCCTGTACCAGATGGTCCACCAGATCGCCTTACAGCCAATCTCAAAGAGGTTACTCTGAAAATTAGTGAGGGTTAAATCCAGGGGGTCCCAATGCCCGGTTCCCAGCACGTGATGCTCCCCACGAATAGATTGGAGCAAGATTGCGCAATCCGAATTGATGCTCCCTCAACCCATCGCAAGTGTGTGTGTGTGTGTGTGTGTGTGTGTATATGCATCCGCCATCCGAGATAGACCCCGCGGACGCGTCCGCGGGTGTTTCATAATCCCCCACCAATCAATCAATCAATCATTCAATCAAAAAAAAAAAAACG